AGGTCGTACAAACACTTCTTCAGGGAATAGTAAATCTCCACGTTTCAGGTGATTCTGAGTCATTTGAGCTTAATTTTTAGAGACAATTTTTTCGGTCAATCCAAAGTGAATTTGGTGATTCTTTGAAAATTCGAGCCAAAGAGTCGTATAAACACTTTTTCAGGGAATAGTAAATCACCACGTTTCAGATGATTCTGAGTCCTCCCATCACAGCTTTCTCACCCCATTTTTTCGTCAGCTCATGTCCAAAAAATTTATTACGTTTCAAAAAAAATTTAAGTAAATTTTTTGAAATATTGCAGCAGTAAAAGGTGCCCTAAAATCCTCTTATCAAATCACCCCTAATTAAAAACCTCTTTAACCCAGAATCCACCGAAACCCCCCAAAACTACAAATTAACCAGTCCAAACCCTGAAATATCAAAAACCTCCAACACGGTAACGAGTTTCCTATCCGGCGAACCCATGACCTCCCATTGCGCAGTTCCATGCGATAGCCACGTGCGTCAGGCGTTATGTTGGCAGAATTCCAGTGCCTGCGCGAGAGAGCAAATAATCAGACAACAGAACATCTATTACACCAATAACCCAGCCCCCCGCCCCTAACCCAAAAAAAAATCGATGCAATTGCAAAACCGACTTTCCCCGGCCCAAACCGTCTCGCATTCCCCGCGGGAAAAAATCCTCACTCTCCCCTGGCACATAATAACTTACAAAACAACCCGCCGCCTGTAATTTTATCTGCACATCAGGCCCCCAATTACGCAAAAACAAAAATATGCAGATGGAATTTTTTCCGCTCCCAGCTATCGCCCAATTTCAGTTTATGTTATTCCCCCCGGTTTCGTGCGCACCAAACGTCGTGGGGGAAAAAAATCAAGAGAAAGAGGTGAACAGCCAGTTGACAAAGATGGCAAGAGAGATGGCCACCATATAAATATTCCATTCGTCGTACGTGTGGTATCTTAGTGCTGGAACGTTGCCCTGAACGACAGACACCCCAAGGCCACGGGGAGACAATTTGTTTTGAAGTTTAAACGGCGCCAGCCGAACCGAGAGAAATCATTTCACTTTCACAACGGCTGTTGTGAGGGAAAAATCGCTCTTCGAAGAGCCAGTGCGAGCAGAATATTCGGGGAATATCGATAAAGATATAGAACTCTCGGGAAAGAGTTTTCCGCAATCGGTGGAGAAATTATTTTGTTGAAAAAATGGGGCTCAGGGTTTTGGTGAAAATTTGTGAGGCTGGGCTCTTATCGCGATCCGTCAACGGCGCTAAACCGAAATGGATCAGGCTTGGGAGATGTATCAGGTGTGTATTCTTGTGATTTTATGGACTTGTCAAGGATGGGCGGGTGGGTAGTGTTGGGAATGATGTTGGAGGCGGGAGGAGTTGATAATGTGGAGCTGGTGATGAGAAATAGGAATATTCTGGGTAATTAATGAGGGAAGGGATAAGGGACGGGGAGGGGAGATTATGGGCTCGTTATTTGGTATTTTTGGGGTTTTTAGTTGCTGTGGAGCAATGGGGAAACGCCTAGTTTCGAGAGAGAATATGGAAGAGCGATTGAGATCAGAAAATTGTTCCTTGATAGTTCGTGAAAAAATGAGTAAACAAATCATTCTATTTCTGAACAACTGGCATGGTAAACAAAGGGAAAATGTAGGTTTACTGGCAGGAAATGAATAATGGAATGAAAAAAAAATATTGAGTAAATTGGAGCTGTTGATAAGAAATATGAGGGCTTCAAGTAGTTTTTTATTTTATTAGTTTAGAGTGTAGAACCCATTTCAAGTGGTAAGGAAGGAATAAATAGGAGACATGAAGGAGATATTAATATCTCCATTATTATTTGATGAATTGGAAATTTTTTTGTTGTGGAAAATGTGGAAAACGCCTAGTTTTGAGAGGGAATATGGAAGAGCGATTGAGAAGATCAGAAAATTGTTCGTTGGTAGTTCATCGAAAAGTAAATAAATCAATCAAATGTATTTCTGAACAACTGGCACGGTAAATAAAGGGAAAATGTAGGTTTACTGGCAGGAAATGAATAATGGAATGAAAAAAAAAAATTGAGTAAATTGGAGCTGTTGATACGAAATATGAGGGCTTCAAGTAGTTTTTTATTTTATTAGTTTAGAGTGTAGAACCCATTTCAAGTGGTAAGGAAGGAATAAATAGGAGACATGAAGGAGATATTAATATCTCCATTATTATTTGATGAATTGGATATTTTTTTGTTGTGGAAAATGTGGAAAACGCCTAGTTTTGAGAGGGAATATGGAAGAGCGATTGAGAAGATCAGAAAATTGTTCGTTGATAGTTCATGAAAAAATGAATAAATCAATCAAATATATTTATGAACAAGTGGCATGGTAAATAAAGGAAAAATGTAGGTTTATTGGCAGGAAATAAATAATTGAATGAAGGAATAAATGGGAGACATGATCACAAGATTAATAAGTTCGTTATTATTTGATGAATTCGATATTTTTAATTTTTTTATTGTGAAAAAATGTGGGAGACGTCTAGTTTGGAGGGGGAAATATGGAAGAGCGAGAAGATGAAAACATGTCTCTTGAAATATTCCATAAAAAATTGAATAAATAATCACGTCCATTTCTGAACAACTGAAATGGTAAATAAAGGGAAAATGTTACATCAGTAATAAATAGCAGCATTCGCTGCATGGAATGTCAGGAATATCGTAATGAAACGGAATTGATAAATTGGAGCAATCGATATGGAATATAACTTTTCAAACAAGTTCAATGAAGGGTGAAATAGCAGACATGAAGGAGAAATAATTGCCAGAAAATAAAAAGAAAAGATAGAACAAATCACTTCATTATCATCTTTAATTAATAAACGATAATAATTCCTAAATTTTGACATTTTTTATTTGCAAACATGTCGAAAACAATGAATTTCAGAAAAAAATATCAAGAGAATTTAATTCACTCGTCACTCGTTAAATTTGGAAAAAAAAGTTTCTAAAATTTTTTTCCAACACAATTCCTCTGGAATCCAAAAATGATTCCATTCAATTTTATCAATACAACTTGTCAATGACGAACAATTGTCGCAATAAACCGAAATAAATTCTTAAAAAATCGTCACTAAAACCGATTCGCCCTTATCACCAGTAATAAATTTCAGAATTCACAGCATGAAATAGAAAAAATATCGTAATGAAACGGAATTGATAAATTGGGGCTATTAATTTCGCATGACTCGTGGCACGAGAGAGGAAATGGAGCACCCGAAGACGCAGTAGATCAATCCCCCACCAATCAGTGAATAATTAGCGATAAAGTACACAAAATGTTGTAAAATCCGTGAACAACAACTGCGAACGCATTGACTGGGAAAAATAAAACCTAGTCTATTTACCGAGTCTTTAATTAATGATCGGGATGACCTACATGATTGTTTACTATTTTGTTCGGATGTCTACAACCGTCTTCGGCTATTTATCCGCGGCTTTCTAATTATTCAGAGTGCCAATGCTCGATTATCTTTCTTTATTCCTCTGGGTGTGCGATCTGTCGAGCACGCCCGGTCAAGCACCCTCTTTGTTGGATTGTTCACACAATCACCGCGTGATCAGCAGGCTGGGAGAGAACTGACGCCTAAATATGAATAATTAATCGTGGGATGCTCGACATTATCGTGGGGATCCAACGGTTTAATTGAGGACAGATGAAAGAATAACGATTGACGATTATTTATTAAGAGGGAATTTTTGAGAATTTTGTTTTTGTCTACAATTTATAAGAAAACTCAGATTAGTCTCAAACGAGCAATTGTATAAAAGAAGGAAAAAACTATTTTTAATTTTCAGTTTTATTTATTTCTGTGATGTCACAAAAGTTTTTTTTTACATCTTGAATGAAAAAATTATTGATTCTATATTTGATACGTTTTTATTCCCTTTCTTTGTTTAAAAAAATTGATGAAGAGCTGCGGAATTCTGAACACGTGCATAGGGATTTTATCTTGAATTCTAGGAATTTCTGGAACAGTTATTTAAGTGTTCTAAACAAAAAATCTGTGGAATTCCTGAATAAATGCCCTGGAATTTCATCTTGAATTCTAGGATTTTCTAGAACATCCATTCAAATGTTCCAAAAACATTTGCATTTAGAACTTTTCGCGTCCTTAAATTTTCTTAAGAAATAAAGTGGTGAATGAAGAGAACTGGCGGTCAAATACTAAATATTGAATGATGTGATGCTTGACATTACCATGAGGAATGAGGATTCAGCGGTTTAATTGAAGACAGACAGCAAAAGTGGAGATTCACGACTATTTATTGAGGGGGGAATTACACTTTGAATGAAGATTATGAAGAAAGCCATTGCGAGAAGATCTCGCCTTGGATTTACTGACATTGCGGCGGTTGGAAGGGTAAAATCAGTTATTCAGCTCATTAAATCACTAGGAAAGCCACCGACTCTATGAATAAGTTTTTATTCTTTCCGATCAATGAGAAATTCCAGTTGATAGCTTCGTTAAAAACATTCAAGAGAAGAAAGATACGAAAATTCTTGTGAAGGAATGTAATCCACAGAAAATTCCTCACGAAACTTCCCCAAAATTCAATGCTGAAATTCAGTAGCGAAGCGGTAAACCGGGTTAAGTCGTTTTTTACTATTGGCTAGTTTTTGACGAATATCTCGGAATCTAAAAGAGATAGAAAGATTTTTGTCACGACCTTTTTTGTAGAGCCAATAGAGCGTTATAAAAAAAGTCATAAGAAAAATTTTGCTATCTCTCTTAGATTCCGAGATATTCAGCAAAAACTGGCTAATAGTTAAAATCGACTTAACTCGGTTTACCGCTTCACTACTGAATTGAAAAAATAATTAAAAAGAGTTATAAAAGGTCTTTTGATTATTCTTTTTCATGGAAAAATAACCTTGAGTGGAATCGATCCGTTCCATTGCACCACTTCACTTACTCCTAATTATCAATTTTATCGGTGATGTAATTTACAGCACAACAACAACAATGTCGAGGTCTATGCTGAGAGACTCGCCCAATGCGGCGCTCGATAAGACACTTTTGAACAGGTATATGGATCTGCCACAGCCGGAGGACAAAGTCCAGGCTAAATACATCTGGATTGATGGCACTGGTGAGGGTATGAGGTCCAAGACAAGGACACTGAATTTTGTGCCGAAGCATCCATCAGGTATGATGTAAACTAAATAGATTCAACCGAAAAAAATTGAGATTTTAATTTCTCCACACTGAGAGAAAAACAAACACGTTGTCAAACAAGTCTTGCTTGGGGCCAACAAAATCGCTAGTTGAAAATTGCCAAAAAAGAATTTGTTTGGTTCGAATTTGAAAGTCTCAAACGTGAATAATTGTTCTGCTTTCGACAGCAACGAAATATCTGGCTCAAGAGGCGGATAATTCACACCAGACGGTGCCTTTTCAGCATGAAAATATCTCATACAGAGGAAAATTTATCAACAAATATTTTATCCCCAAGTTACAAGATTGCTATCATATCATTATTATTGTTGAATTTAAGGGTTCATTTCTTGTCTGTCATTATTAGACAGCTGAAACGAAAAACTACTATCCCTTGTTCCGCATAAAACAAAGATTTTTCGGGAGCAAAATACGTATGGGATTATTGAATAACTAAGGAGTAGTGCTAGAAATGACATTTCTTGCGTGTACAGAGAATGAATTTTTTTTGAACTACTAAATCTAGTTTATTTTCACATGTATACCCTCTCGGGTTTTTACATTTTGTCCCCATCCCCGTTGACAATTTTGAAGTAATACAATATAGAATCACTGAAAAAATATGTAAATATAAAGTTCCCCAAGTAACGTTGCCTCAGCTAAGCCATTTTCCGCTAGTTGTCCAAGGTCTTCAACTACTAAATTTATTTTTGCGACAAAAAATTTTCATTCCGGCGCACTCTCTGCATGTTTGGCACAAAAAAATACTTTTTGATAATTTTCAAAAAACAATTTTTTTGGCACAAGTAAGACTTGTTTGAGAACTTTGTCGTTTTTCTCTCAGTGTATGAGAACTATTCTATTCACACGCAAAGAAAAAAAAGAAAAAAGAAAATGTTTAAAAAACAGAAAATTTGGTAATAGCTTTGTTGCAATTCTCAGGAGACACTGTAACTCGTGCACTACGAAAATTCAACAAATTTTTATTTCTTCATAAGAACTATTCTCAACTATTCTTAGAAAAAACACTGGGAAAACTTGATGCATAAACTCAGACATCAAAAGACACAAAAAAATGTCGTTTTTCCTCTGAAAACTTGTTTCTTAATGAGGAAATTTCAATTCTGCGGAATAAAACTATTTTTACATCAGTTCTTATCAACTCGGGGTTCTTCATTATCATTCTTCCCCGCTCAGAAGCTCGTGCCCTATCAAAATTGAAACGAGCGAGCAAAAATTGCACTATCACGAGGGCGATAGGAGAATCCCCGGCAATTTGCGGGTTTAATATTTTTAAATATACCCCTCGAGTATTATGCAATTCTCTGCGTCAAGAAGTGCGTAGGCAATTGGATTGCGGAATTGATAAAATTGTCGGGGAGATGTAAATACTTGGTGGCGGAGGGTATTCCCCTTTTATTCCAATTGAAGGGAATAATTAATTGGTTACGCTGCAGACCCCTCTACGGGGACATCTCAACGAGACTCAATTGAATATTCCGATTACCGTAAACATCTTCCGGAATTTTTAAAATAAATTTGATGAGGCTTGAATTTAATTCAATTCTCGTAATTTCATTCAATAATGCATTCTCTCAATAATATCGCGTTTGAAAACATTCATTCATTCATTCTTGATAGAAATTCATAAATTCTCTAGGAATTTCTATGGGAGAAAATTTAAACAGAAGGTGTTGCAAAGAAATTTGAAGAATTATTATTTTTCTATTTAAAATATTCACGAAATACTGCAGAATTTTCAAAAGGAAACCGAGTTTTTCAATGGCTTTCACAGAGAATTCTGTAAGTGAACATATTTCAGTTGAGAAAATTCGTAACATTTATGAGGAATTCTTCAAGTTTTCTTCCTTTGACTTCCTTTTAAATTTTTTAAAGAGTACACGTGAATGAAATTTTTAATTTTTGCAAATTTTTTAGCACTACGCGTGAATTAAATTGTCAAAAGAGGAAGAAAGGTTTAAATTGTCAAGGGAAGCGTTATTTTGTTAACTTGCTTTAGCTTCCCTAGGCTCCAGAATAGACAAGACATATTAAAAAAATAAAAAAATATTGTTTTGTTTAAAAACAAGAAATAAAAATTGAAGAAAAAATTGTTTTGCCCCTTATGAGGCCTGAAGAAGCTGAAATAATTCATCAAAACGTCGCTTTCCTTGACAATTTAACAAACATTGTTGTTATTATCTCCAAAGTTTTCTCCCTTTGATTTCCTTTTAAATTTTTTGAAAATTACACATAAATGAAATTTTTAATTCCTTCAAATTTTTCAGCACTACAAGTGAATTAAATTTTCAAGAGAGGAAGAAGGCTTAAATTGTCAAGGGAAGTGGCGTTTTGCTAAATTACTGTAGTTTCCCTGAGCTCCAGAATAGTCAAGACATTAAAAAAATAAAACAATATTGTTTTCTTTAAAAACAAGAAATAAAATTTTTTTTAAAAATTGTTTTGTCCCTTATGAGGCCTGAGAAAGCTGAAATAATTCATCAAAACGTCGCTTTCCTTGACAATTTAACAAACATTGTTGTTATTATCTCCAAAGTTTTCTCCCTTTGATTTCCTTTTAAATTTTTTGAAAATTACACATAAATGAAATTTTTAATTCCTTCAAATTTTTCAGCACTACAAGTGAATTAAATTTTCAAGAGAGGAAGAAGGCTTAAATTGTCAAGGGAAGTGGCGTTTTGCTAAATTACTGTAGTTTCCCTGAGCTCCAGAATAGTCAAGACATTAAAAAAATAAAACAATATTGTTTTCTTTAAAAACAAGAAATAAAATTTTTTTTAAAAATTGTTTTGTCCCTTATGAGGCCTGAGAAAGCTGAAATAATTCATCAAAACGTCGCTTTCCTTGACAATTTAACAAACATTGTTGTTATTATCTCCAAAGTTTTCTCCCTTTGATTTCCTTTTAAATTTTTTGAAAATTACACATGAATGAAATTTTTAATTCCTTCAAATTTTTCAGCACTACAAGTGAATTAAATTTTCAAGAGAGGAAGAAGGCTTAAATTGTCAAGGGAAGTGTCGTTTTGCTAAATTACTGTAGTTTCCCTGAGCTCCAGAATAGTCAAGACATTAAAAAAATAAAACAATATTGTTTTCTTTAAAAACAAGAAATAAAATTTTTTTTAAAAATTGTTTTGTCCCTTATGAGGCCTGAGAAAGCTGAAATAATTCATCAAAACGTCGCTTTCCTTGACAATTTAACAAACATTGTTGTTATTATCTCCAAAGTTTTCTCCCTTTGATTTCCTTTTAAATTTTTTGAAAATTACACATAAATGAAATTTTTAATTCCTTCAAATTTTTCAGCACTACAAGTGAATTAAATTTTCAAGAGAGGAAGAAGGCTTAAATTGTCAAGGGAAGTGTCGTTTTGCTAAATTACTTTAGTATCCCTGAGCTCCAGAATAGTCAAGACATTAAAAAAATAAAACAATATTGTTTTCTTTAAAAACAAGAAATAAAAATTTTTTTAAAAATTGTTTTGTTTCTTATGAGGCCTGAGGAAGCTGAAATAATTCATCAAAACGTCGCTTGCCTTGACAATTTAACAAACATTGTTCCTATTATCTCCAAAATCGCCGATTCCTCCCCTCCACTTGACCAGTAAAATAACAAATGAATAATTTTAATTCAATATTCCAGAGCTTCCATGGTGGACCTACGACGGGAGTTCGACCTACCAGGCGGACGGTGCCAACTCCGACATCTTCCTCCAGCCAGTGGCAATCTACCGTGACCCCTTCCGTCGGGGTCACAATCGTCTCGTCCTCTGCGAGACCTTCAACAGCGACAAAACCCCAACGAAAACGAATCTCCGTCACAAGTGCAACGAAGCCATGGAGGCCATCAAGGAGCTCGAGCCCTGGTTCGGCATCGAGCAGGAGTACACTTTCCTGGACTTCGATGGTAGACCCCTGGGCTGGCCCAAGAATGGCTTCCCAGGGCCACAGGGGCCCTACTACTGCGGTGTTGGTGCTGACAAGGTCATCGGGAGGGAAATTGTCGAGGCACATTACCGAGCTTGTCTCTATGCTGGCGTCAATCTCGCTGGTACCAATGCCGAGGTCATGCCTTCACAGTGGGAATTCCAAGTGAGTTTAAAATAGTATAAACACAACTTGAATTTTGAAGATTAAAATTTTAAGTAAATTCTTGGCAAAATCGTATTGCAGAATTGAAATAGTTTTATTACGTACAAAATCAGGTGACTGTATTGTACGATTTTTCAATTTTTGTTAAATTAATTGACAATCAGCATTTTCAATTTTTCAAATCTTTTATGAATCAGTGATCAACTTCGCAAGAACGATGATTGTTAGATTGATTGACAAATCAAATTCAGATATTTAGAATTAATTGATTAATTGCAATTGAGAATTAAAAATTATTTTCAAACGAAATGATAGATGGCGCCACTGCCGATAAGGAACCATAAGGACTTTTTTCTAACCCCCCATAATGAAAATATAGATGTATCGATGTAAAAAAAAAATCGATTTTTTTATTCAATTGGAGAATTTCCAGAAGGAAAACATCGGTCGGAATTTAAGTAGTATAAACACAACTTGAATTTTGAAGATTAAAATTTAAGTAGTTCTTGGCAAAATCGTATTGCAGAATTGAAATAGTTTTATTACGTATCAGGTGACTGTATTGTACAATTTTTCAATTTTTATTAAATTAATTATCGATCAGCATTTTCAATTTTTCAAATATTTTATGAATCAGTAATCAACTTCGCAAGAACGATGATTGTTAGATTGATAGATGGCGCCGCTGCCGATCCCCCCAAAGCGAAAACAGACGTATCCATGTAAAAAAAATCGATTCTTTTTATTCAAGTCGAGAATTTCCAGGAGGAAAACATCGCTCGGAATATGACGTAATAGTCCAGCACTGAGGATCCCTCAAAATTGTAATTTACTCCTACGAAAACTGGAGAATTTTCCCGAATTTGCTGGAAAATTCTAAAATTCCGGTAGATGGCGCCGCTGCCGATAAGGAACCATAAGGACTTTTTCCCTCAATGCCCTCCCATAATGAAAAGACGTATCCACGTTAAAATCGCAATTTTTTAGACAATTTTTATCCAACTTTTCTCTCCGCCTAACAACACTATCTCCAATTGTCTCCAGGTCGGTCCCTGCGTAGGAATAGCCGGCGGTGACGACCTCTGGATCGCCCGCTTCATTCTCCACCGCATCGCCGAGGAGTACGGCGTGATCGCCACCCTGGACCCCAAACCAGTGGACGGAGCCTGGAACGGGGCTGGTGCCCACACAAACTTCTCGACGAAGCCCATGCGACAGGAGGGTGGCATTGCCGAAATAAACAAGGCCATCGAGAGACTGAGCAAGCAGCACATTCGCCACATCCAGGCTTACGATCCACGTGGAGGAAAGGACAACGAGCGTCGTCTCACTGGTAAATGCGAGACAAGCAGTATCCACGACTTCAGTGCTGGCACTGCCAACAGGGGCTGCAGCATTCGCATTCCAAGGGGCGTTGCTGAGGACAAGAAGGGATATCTCGAGGACAGAAGACCCAGCAGTAACTGTGATCCTTACGCTGTGTGCAATGCACTCGTTCGCACTTGCTGTCTCAATGAGTAAATTCCGATGAATCAAATTGTTTTTACCAACCGGAGGGCATGATTGAAGAATTTTTGTTGATTCACTATCCACTTTTTAAAGAAAAGAAAGAAATTGCGAAAGCTTTACACTAAATCGAGGCGATAGAATTCTGTGAATTATTCTCCTCATTTCTCAAGGAAAAAAGAAAGAAAATATCGATATTTTTTTATAGAACATTGAAGAGAAACATAAACGTCAAATGCATGAAGAAACTCGGAAATGCAAAGCGCACAAATTTAGTTGATTATTTTTTGTTTTTGAAGGGCGGAAAAATAAATGGCGGGAGCCGTCTGCAGTCTGAATGAGCAAATTTGATATTACTCAGTGCAAAATTTGTAAAGCACTGAGGTGACAGAAATTCTATGAATTATTCCTAGAGAGAAATAATGAGAAATTATCGAAAATTATTTTTTATAGAACGTCGAGGAGAATTATGAATTTTCCTCAGCGTCAGATGCATAGATTTATAAATTCTGTTGATTATTTTAGTTTTTATTTTTCGAGAGAAGATTGTCGACGTAGTGTAGGTTTTAAGCAACGTTTATCGAACGAATTACGTATCTTGGAATATTTGCATGTTAAGATTATGTCAAGAGGCTCTTGACAGTATCTCTGGGTCATAATCCCTGGTATTACAGCACTGTTATCGTCGCTGAAAGAGGATTTATATATTTTTCAACCTTTTGACAGTAATGTATTATCAATAATTGCTCGTTAATAATCTCCTAATCTGTGGAATAGGTATCGAGTATCTTTCATATCTGAGTCGATGTGAGTGTCGATTTTTAGGATTGGGTGCTTTCTCGTGGGATTCGAGTTGGTAAATCATCGGAGGAATCGATAATCTGGGGGGGGGAAATCGCTGATTCTTATTGTGAGGGGAATCAATTTGTTATCTGTCTTGTATCGAGACCCTGACACTCATCCCAGTCGTATCTTATTGTTTACTATAGATATTTTTTATTCTCAAACTCATTTTTCAATCATTTTTTATTCAGATTGTTGAACGCATAATCATTGCCGAATTCATTCTGTCGAAACGAGATTCCGGAATTTCGGAGGACAAACGTTTGAGATAATTCAATAGGTGTCTATTGAATTGTTCGGGAAATTCGACTGTCAGAAGCAGAAATTAGTTTACTGATGTTTGATAGAGTATATAGTTGTACAAAAGATGATAAAATGTAAATCGCTATTTTCGGATAATAATGATTTTTTGCTGTTATTATAAGATGATGAGGAGTAGAGGAAATATGTCATGTAATATTGTAATTAAATATATCGATAAACAGAATAAACTACTATTTTAAAACAGTCATTGGTTGTCATGATTATTTCTCCTTCAACTGAGTAGAATTTTAATGATCCTATCGATTCCCATTATCAATGAAATTTGATGAAATCCTAAAATCAAAACATTTTAAAAAATTAATTAAGCGTTTTTAATGACAAATGGAACAACTGAGATTCGCAGTATTTTTGTATTTTCCAAAATTATGTACAAAATAGAACGAAGTAATTTGGACACAGAATGCCAAACACTGTAAATTGACATTATACTTTACGAGACTGAAATTTTAATCGTCAAACATTTGAAAAAGGAAAAAAAAAAGGAATTGTCAAAGAGAAATTATCATCTGCTCATGGAAATAAAAATTCTTAGCTTCTCTACATATTCTAGGCGTCACTGGAGTCAACGATTCAACGGAAAAAAGGGGATAAAATTCTCGATTGGTATTTACGAGTGATCGGCGTATGCGAAAATTACGGAGATGTTGAATTTATCGTTTGTTTATCCACATTTACGATGGTATTCGGGTGGGGCTGCTCCGTAGTCCTGGAGGCTGAATAAATCGCTACTGTTTTTGTGGAGATACCTGAGGAAGTCGTGGATGTGTGACAGCAGCAGTTGAATGCTCCTCTCGTCTAGTGGTGTGTATGACAACATATTTCCAAGTTTAACTAGAAAAAAAAACAATATGAAATTCCATTCTTTGAAATTAATGAAACAGTTGCAATATTCATCAAGTGGGCAATGTAATCAGCTAATGAATAATATTATTGAGTTCAAGTAAATTCACAATTTATTCATTTTTATATTAATAAAAAAAAATACTAATCATGTGATATTAATATTAGAAAATTTAATAAATGTATTTAGTGAAAATTTTTTCGCTCAATTTTGGAAGTTCAACTAGCAATAAAATTATCATAACAGTTTTCGTCCCCATTATTTGACGAAAACTGTATTTTGCAATAATTTTTTAGAATAATCATAAGTAGAATTGGATTTTTATTTTATCCAATATGAGCGTCTGCCCATTCTCTTTCAGTGCATGAACTTATCTCACGCATCAACTAACAACAAATTGGAATAATATAATTCTTTGAAATTAATGAAACAGTCACAATATTCATCAAGTGGACAATGTAATTAACTAATGAATAATACTACTAAATTCAAGTAAATTTACAATTTATCCACTTTAATCTTAATAAAAAAAATAAAATGCCAATTATGTGATATTAATATTAGACAATTTAATACATTTATCGAGTGAAAATTTTTTCGTTCAATTTTAGACTAATTCAACTAGCAATAAAATTATCAAAACCGATTTCATGCCCATTATTCGATGAAAACTGTATTTTGCGATAATTTTTTAGAAATCATAAATAGAATTGGTTTTTTATTTCATCCAATATGAACGTCTGTCCATTCTGTTTTAGTGCATGAACTTATCTCATGCCTCAACTAACAAAAAATTGGAATAAAATAAAATAATAATTACCAAACAATCGAAGTAAATGCGAAGCCCCATAAATTTGACTGGGTGCCGTGTTTGGTTTCTCAGACATAATTTCCCCATACTGCTGTCTCTCCCACCTGTATAGCAACTGTGTTCCCAGCATAACATTGAAGTACTCTCGAAGACCCTTTGTAACTTCCAGAACTGCACTCTCTCTGCAAACAAAAGAATTAACAGCAATAAAACACGAAAAAATGCGTCCACTTCATGATTCCCCTCTACAGGGATTAATCAATGTACTTGTTGGGAGTATTAGTCTTGCTAGAGGTCTTGAACTTCACGTAATCATCGAGGATCTGGTCGACAGTGTGTCTGGCAGGTATTGTCACCAACTTCCTCTGTCGACTGATAGCGTCCCAGTCGTCAACTAGCCAGGGCTTCAGCTCGTCAGGGAGTTTCACTTTCACTTCAACTTTCGTCAGGAACTGCTCCTCAGTCTCCACTGAGGGGTCGATTCTGCTGTAAAAATAAAAAATCTCGTTTTAAAAATCATGTGATATTTTTATTGCAACCAGAGGGATAAAATAACAACAACAGCTTCTAATTATCTCAATTCTGTTGATAAAATCGAAGGAGGATTTCTCATCAAGGTCAAATGACATTTGCTAGTGAAAAATAATACTAAAAAATAATTTTGCTAGCAAAAAATGATAATAAGATAGAATAAATGTTGGAAAAAATGTAAAGAAATAAGTGGAATAAAATGGAAAACAATGGAAAATAATAATGGGATAAATAATTCAGGAAAAAGAGAATGTTATTATTTTTAGAAGAAGTGAATTCAAGAAATTAATTTAATAATCACCTTCGTTTCTTCCTGGGAGCGTCAGAAGAGGAATCATGTGAAGAGGGAGTGACAGAGCCACTGCTGTTCTTATTGACCCTCGTAGACACTTTATCACTACCAGGTACTGGTGTACTTGCCCTGCTCTCTGAACCTTTATCCTTAACGACATCACTCTTTCTCCCTGTGGTCTTCACCACCGACGTCCCCTTCTTCCCCTTCTGGGTCGACTGCTGGGCGTCGTGGGCCCTCTGCACCTCCTTCTGCTTCTGGACATTCGCCTCGTTGTACTTGAGGACGCGACTCTCAGGCACCCATTCGTCCCAACTGAAACCACAAGCTCGAGTTGTTGTTTTCGTAAAGTTTAGGGGGGAGTAGAGGGGTACAGATCAATCGTTAATATCTGTGGAATAAGTGATACGATTTGAATGAGTCTGATCTCATTTTGAAGATTAATGAAAATTCTTGACAATGAAGGAAAAATTGAGGAATTTCACTCAGCGGTTCTTGAGTGATTGACGATTGAAAATAAAAGATTAAATTTTGTTCTTGGTTTTGTTTAAAACGAATTGTCTTCAAAGATTAATAGCTCTAGACCAAATAATACGATTCGTATGAGTCAGATCTCATGTTGAAGATGATAAAAAATCCTAGAAAATGAAAGAGAAATTGAGGAATTTCACTCAGCAGTTGGTGAGTCATTAACGATTGAAAATGAAAAAGATTAAATTTTGTTCTTGGTTTTGTTTAAAACGAATTGTCTTCAAAGATTAATAGCTCTGGACCGAATAATACGATTTGTATGAGTCAGATCTCATTTTGAAGATGATAAAAAATCCTAGAAAATGAAGGGGAAATTGAGGAATTTCACTCAGCAGTTCTTGAGCTATTGACGATTGAAGATGAAAAGGATTAAATTTTGCTCTGCAGTCCACAAATTTTTGTGAGAGGTTATATTCAAAACGAATTAATTTACGATAAAAATACTCACTTTTTGTTCCACCCCGCATAATGTATGAAATACTTGACCTGCTTCTCCTTAGACACCGATGATTTCAAGCACTTAGCCTCGTAGATCAGTGGTCCATGGAAACAAAGCACCTTTTCACCTGTTTACACCATGAAAGAAATCATTATCAGCTCCAGAGAGTTTTCCCCGATGAATTTGTCGTTTGATTTACCTTCTGTGAATTTACACTTCATTGGCATTCCTTGAGTCGACAGTTTACTCGTTGATTATTACTCGATTTGTTGGGTGTCTTATTGTTTATGTGGGAGTGTTATTCCGGTAAAAAGCGTCTCGTCCCAAGAGCGAATCACTCGAGAGTTTGAGGTTAACTTCCAGCTGACTTCAGAGGGTTCGTAGAAATGAGTGGGGGTGTTGTGAGTGTTTTCAGAGATCATCTGTCAAGTGTCAACCAACAGAATTGACAGTTAAACAATGAGAATTTGACATTCCGTTTCGTTCAATTCTCATTACACAACAAGAATGTCTGCTAGCTATTATTTTGTCATTGTGGGGACTGAGGACAATCCACTCTTTGAGATTGAGTTCAGTGGGTCCAGTAAAGACACTAAGGTAAATAAACATAAACCTAAGCATTTGTCAATTCTTTAAAACATTTATGCTGTTGAAACTCTATGAGAATTCTATTGAAGTTCTATTATAATTTTTTTTTTCATCAATTCTATAAGAATAGTATATAATTAGTTAGGGAACGTTTGGGTAAAACGGACACTTGACTTTTTTTCAAATGTTAATGAGGGGTTGAAATGTTGATGAAATTTAATTTCTTTTTTTTTCAATACCAAGAACAATTATTTCCCTTTGTGACGAGCCTAAACTGAGCTCAATTGATAAATTTGTTTCTGAGTTATGAATAATTTAAAAAAGGTCTAAAGTGTCCATTTTACCCCACCCTCTCCTATATAATTTTTTTTATTATTATTTTTTTTATATAATTTTTTTTTATTATAGGGGAGGGTGGGGTAAAATGGACATTAGACTTTTTTTTTTAATTATTCATAACTCAGAAACAAATTTATCAGATGAGCTCAGTTTAGGCTCGTCACAAAGGGAAAGAATTGTTCTTTGTATTGAAAAAAAAATTAAATTTCATCAACATTTCAACCCCTCATTAACATTTGAAAAAAAGTCAAGTGTCCGTTTGTCCGGCCATGAATTTCCGAAGTTTTGCATTCATGTATTTTATTGTTTTCACTCCAGAAAGAGGATCATGCCCACCTGAATCAGTTCATAGCCCACGCCGCCCTCGATCTGGTGGACGAGCACAAGTGGAAAACCACGAATATGCATTTGAAAGTGATCGACAAGTTCAATCAATGGTTCGTCAGTGCATTCGTCACTGCTACGCAAATTAGATTCCTCATGGTTCACGATGCGAAGAATGAGGATGGGATCAAGAACTTTTTCAACGAGATGTACGAGACTTACATAAAGGTAACTGTTATTAATGTTCTGATGGTACTTTGGGGGAATCTAGGATGCAAAGGAGCTATTCCCCAAAAGGTGAAACCAAATTGATTGATAATCTGTATTTTAGTTTGAAGAATAGATTAATTCACAATTTCAGTTTGCTATTTGTTCATTTCCCAGTGAACCCAAAATTCAATGAATTGTTTTCACAAAATCAGCTATGTCTTTATGAATATTCACTGACCAGGATATTTATAGAAAACTGAAACAAAGTGAATTGACTGATTTGTCCTGTTTTTATTCTTGCCGATAAAATAAAAACAAATTAGATAGGGGAAGTTGGGGTAAAACGGACACTTTTGACTTTTTTTAAAATGCTAATGAGGGGTTGAAATGTTGATAAAATTTAATACATTTTTTTTAATACAAAGAACAATTCTTTTCCATTGTGACGAGCTCAATTGATCAATTTGTTTCTGAGTTATGACTAATTTAAAAAAAGTCTAAAGCGTCCGTTTTACCCCACTCTCCCTCTACTAATCTACAAATTTCCTATTTTTAACCCTCAATTATGTATTCCACAAGATAAACTTTATTTCAGAATTTAGTAGAAATTTCTATGAGAATTTTCCTCAGCATCTTCTATTTTGTTCTTAAAAAAAATAGATTAAAAAATTTGCCATTTGTATACAGAGAATGATAAAATTCGACAGGACCTCTCAATCCCCACTTTCCAAACTTCAGTTATTTTTTTAGAAAACAAACTCTCAATTACTGAATCCAAACTCAATTGTAAAAAAATTTAAGAACATTCTGATTGATTCTCCACTTCGTTCACCCGAACATTTAATGAATATTAAATGAGGACCCTATTATTTATTATTAAAAACTCAACGAAGTAAATCCACGATTTGTTTTCAATTCTCATTATAAAATTAATTAACGATCTGTTAATCTTCTGTTTGCAGTATTCAATGAATCCATTCTACAAGATAAACTCTCCAATAAACTCGACGGGATTCGAGAAAAAAGCCCAGTTGTACGGCAGAAAATACCTGACCTCCTAGCCCACCAAAATCTCCAATGATCTGTACAAAAAAATAAATAAACAAATAATAAAATGTTGAATTGAATTTTCGCAATGTTCTTTACTTCTGCGACATCTTGTGACAGCCGCACCAACAACTCCACCCTGCCAAGTGTACGACCCACGGAGTTGAACGAATTTAACTCGAATCTAGTCCTACGTGCCCTCGAAAATAGACAAAAACATCTAATAATAGTCCTCAGAATTTGAATGCCGAATGAGTATGAGGCGTTTCAGCGCCGAAAGATGCTCTGACCTTCACCGAAATTAGAGGTCGAGTGGTCTCAGTGAGGAGGCAGGACACAGGTGTGTGCAGCTGCGTGGCAACTCAGGACCCTAAGTATCAATTCAACGAGCAGATGCTGACTGTCGACGATAGAAAGGTGAAGATTCCTGTTAAAGTAGAATAATTCAATTCGAGTTCAGTTTTCGTTGCTCCAATTAACTGTAAAAAATCGCGAAAGCGTTGACAGTTCGTTGAATTGTTTTGAACTGTTGGGGAAGTACTTGCACCTGTGGTGGGGCAGAAGGTCGATTGACAAAGTTAATCCCATAAAAAAGGGAATTCCAATGCTGTTGAGGTACTGAAACATGAAGATGGGGATGAACAACCCCTTAACCTCTCCATTTTTTTGTGAAGATCATTCATTCTGCTCCGAAATGTCTGACTTTGAACGTGAATTCTGGGGATGATTTGAGTGGATGAAAAAATTTAAGGATGTTTAGGCAGTGCCGGTAAATTGTCGGTGTTTTTTTTCGTGGTCAAGGAAAATTCTGCAATTTTTACGACAGTAGAACGTATAAAACTCAGGACCCTAAGTATCAATTCAACGAGCAGATGCTGACTGTCGACGATAGAAAGGTGAAGATTCCTGTTAAAGTAGAATAATTCAATTCGAGTTCAGTTTTCGTTGCTCCAATTAACTGTAAAAAATTGCGAAAGCGTTGACAGTTCGTTCAATTGTTTTGAACTGTTGGGGAAGTACTTGCACCTGTGGTGGGGCAGAAGGTCGATTGACAAAGTTAATCCCATAAAAAAGGGAATTCCAATGCTGTTGAGGTACTGAAACATGAAGATGGGGATGAACAACCCCTTAACCTCTCCATTTTTTTGTGAAGATCATTCATTCTGCTCCGAAATGTCTGACTTTGAACGTGAATTCTGGGGATGATTTGAGTGGATGAAAAAATTCAAGGACGTTTGGCAGTGTCAATGAAAATTCCGTAATTTTTTCGGCTAACAGCAGAACATATAAAGCTAACTTTTCTAACTTAAAAAAAATTAATCGCAATAGTCTCGGCAGAAATGAATAAACAAATTTTTCCTTATACACGAGCTCTCATGAAATTTATGTTCAAATTGATAATTCATCTACTAGAAGACTCTAAAAATAGAAATAAAAATAGAACGTAATGGGTAAAATCATACACTTTACCACTATTACAATTCTATTCACAGCAAAAACGAATGTTTGAATTTCACACACCTTTCGTAGACATTTTTCAGACAATAAAAAAAGTCTCAGTAAAATGAAAATGTGCCTGAATTTCAGACGTCTGAAAAATGTCTACAAAAGGTGTGTGAAATTCAAACATTCGTTTTTACTGTGTTGAATTTCTGTTGAACTTTCTATTGATTTTTGGCCGTTTGAATTGAAATGTTCAATAGCAAATATTCTACAGAAAAAGTCAAAAGAATTCGATTTTTCTATACAATTCTGAGATATTTTCAAATACATAATTCTCCGATACATAATTACCAACTGTTCCAATAGAAGACTGAATTTTCACGGATGCAGAACCTTTGGACTTTCTTTTTCTCCTCCATAAATTATCATAATCCCTGATAAAAAGAGATTACGATACATTCAAAGTCCGAAATAACTAAAAAATATTCTGAACTCTTTCTCATTCTTCTAATAATAATCGTAACTGTGAAATATCTGTGAAAGAAACACGTCTGGACGCATTATAGAAAAGAAAGAGTGTCTTTTCACAAACAGGATTATCGATTTTCATCAGAAATTCTGGGAGTTATTGACATTCAACTGATTTTCCAAAGCCTCTGGAGCTTCCCCCTCTGGTAGAAATCCGTCATTATCGTTATTTCTTTCCTCTACATTTGTTATCTGTGGATTCACATGAATTTATCATCAGTTATCAGAGGTCCATAGCCGCAGGAAGACTGTCCCAATATTTTTTAATGCATTGTCTAGGAAAATCGGAATCGAAAGCTCTTGATTTTTTTGAACAAAAACTTCTGTTTTTCTCTACGAAAATTCCTCTAACCGAAAATCGGAATCTGCGGAGTTTTTTCAACTGAAAAGTTTCATCCATTCAAATAAAAAAATACATAAGAGCCCAGGGAAATGGAAAAAGAGAAGTTGCAATTGTTCTGAAGTCGAATTTGGAAAAAAAATCGGCAAAAAAATTGGTCAAATTCTATTAGAATTTTCTATGGTCTTGTTCGATGCATGAGAGTTAATCTCATCCAGATGGAACACTTTCGCCCCTCCTACATCTATCAAATCCTCTCCGCAATAGAAGAAGCTCACAATTCCTCACAATCGCCTCTACAAAAAATGAATGTCATGTAATAAAAGTGATTGCTGGATGAAAAGATCACTATTATCTCGCATGCCAGCGTGATCGTCTCACATTTTTGTTGGCCAGTTCATTCGAGTGATAACGAATAAGACCTTGACACGAAGAGACTACCAACAGATTTCAAAGCACAAAAACAAAGGAAATTCTTTCCCAACGGATCAATTGAATTCCCAATCCCCGTTGATCCTCCTGACATCAGCGAGTCAAGAATTTCTTGTGAAGTATTATACATAACTTTTGACAATTTTTTTAAATTCTTGGGAGTACTGATGAGAATAATAATTTTCCATTCGGTAGAATGGAAAATTATTGAGAAGTTTTGACGGCCGATGATTTTTTCAATGGATTAATTGAAAAAAAAAATATTATTCTTATCAGTACTCCCGGGAATAAAAAATTTAACAAGAAAAAAATATTTAGCAAAAAAAATTTTTTTTTTGCTTGAATTGCGTTAAACAATCGTTTTTTTGACTGTTTCATTTTGCCCCACTCTCCCCTATAAAAAAAGTGAAAAGAATTCGATGTTTCGATACAATTTATTCAATTGAGATATTTTCTATAGTTTCGTCGGCTCAAATTCTCCAAGTTTTTTTGTTAGATTTTCTCGATGGGAAGAAAATAAAAATAAAATGAAAAAAACAGAAAATTCAAGCCGAGGAAATTCCATAGAAAATATCTGAGGGGAATAAGTTACATAGAAAAATCGAATTCTTTTGACTTTTTCTCTAGAATCAGCCAAAAACTAATAGAACGTCAATCGAATTTTCCAGCGAATTCGCTAGATTTTTCTATTAAATTTGTTCGCGCCCGGTGATCTCATGACATAATCGAGTCAGGAATTTCTTGTGAAGTATTATACATAACATTTGACAATTTTTTTTAAATTCTTGGGAGTACTGATGAGAATAACAATTTTCCATTCGGTAGAATGGAAAATTATTGAGAAGTTTTGACGGCCGATGATTTTGTCAGTGGATTAATTGAAAAAAATTATTATTCTGAATTGTGTCAAACGATCGTTTTTTTGACTGTTTCATTTTACCCCACTCTCCCCTATAGAAAAAGTGAAAAGAATTCGATGTTTCTGTACAATTTATTCTATTGAGATATTTTCTATAGAATTTCGTCGGCTCAAACTCTCCAAGTTTCTTTGTTACATTTTCTCGTTGGGGGAAAATAAAAATAAAATGAAAAAAATAGAAAATTCAAGTCGAGGAAATTCTATAGAAAATATCTGAAGGGAATTATATAGAATAGTTATATAGAAAAATTGAATTCTTTCGACTTTTTCTCTAGAATCAGCCAAAAACTAATTCGCTAGGTTTTTCTATTAAATATGTTCGCGCCCGGTGATCTCATGACATAATCGAGTGAATTCCTCACGACGCATTACAAATACCTCCCGACAACTCCATCACAATAACGTCCGTCAGACGTATCAATCACTGCTAGAATCCCCCTTAATTTCCGAATAAATTATTCCCACTATTTCAATAACGAGCGTTTGGCGCGTATCTATGCGCCTCGGAAAATTTGAGAGACCTCAAAAACTCGACTGATACTGGATGAGTGATAACGAACTCATACATAATGCACTCGAGGCCTGCTTCATTGTCACTTCGATGAGTCGCTGGTATCAGAGCAATCCAGAGTCTCGACCCGTGCGCACGTTTAGTTTTCCCCGTTCTGTTTTTATCATTTTTACCCGTCACGTTTGAATTTTTATCTGTCAATATTTATTTACTCGTCCCTTCCCTGTTTGATTAACTCCAACTCCTCCGAACATGGAATATTTATTTCGTGTGAGTAAACACCAGCTCTCGCTGGAACCTTTCTATTTCTAGTCTTCGTGCCGAATACTTAGTCAGTTTGGAATTTGAATTGTGTCGAATGTTGGATCAGTGGGGACATTCCTTCGTTGGGAATTTCAATGGCTGTGGAAATTTTTGATAGTTTGAGGATGTAGTTGTTGTTGGGGATAATGATTTGTAAGCGTGACGCGGGAATTCTTCAGATGGTGGTAATTTTCAAGTGTTGTGTAACTGATTGTGTACGTGATACTATTTATAGAGATAACTTCTCGTATGGAGGAAAAAACGTACGGTTTTTCGCGCCAATCCGCTTGATTATTAGCGGGGAATCTGAAATACATTGCGAAAGCCACGGAAATATTTCGTGGAGAAACCTACCGAATTCTATAGAAAATTCTAGGGGATTTCGAACATTGAAGTTCTGCGGGAAATTTTACTTGTTTACGAGAATTTCGCAGCTTTACTGCACGTTTTTTTTTTGAAAATGTCAAATGCAATTATTTTGGAGAAAAAATCAATGGGATTTCATCTTTCTATACAACTCTTTTCTATAGGAGTTCTTCGACATGAATTTAATAATTTTTTCGGCTCTATTTTTCTTCTCTTTCCATTGAAAAAATCGAAGAGTAAACGAGAAAATTTAAGCCGAGGAATTTCTATAGAAATTTTTAATAGAAACTGTTTTATAGCGAAATCAGTAGAATTTTATATTTCCCCACAACTTTTTCTATGAGACATTTCCAACAGGAATTCTTCGATATTAATTTTTCAAACTGTTTCTTATTAAAAAAAAGATGCAACAAAACTTGGAAAATTTGAGTCGAAGAATAGAAAATATCTCGATAAGACAAGCTGTCAATAAAAATCGACTGCTATTAATTTTTTCTATAGAATATACCAAAATAATATATAACCCAATGAACATTTCTATAAAAAACGCGCAGATGAGGAGCAGAAATTTCCAATAGAAATTATTCTACAGAAAAAAAAATCAGGCAAATGTCATCTGTCTATAAAACTTTTTCTATAGGAATTTTTCATACCTGAATTTTCTATTTTTGTGCACTCCACTTTTCTTCTGTTTTCATTAAAAAATCAAACAATCTAGCATTTTGAAATTAATTACAGTCAAGAGGGCACGCTCGCTCGCCCTCAGACACCCAGGCCTTCCGCGAGAGAACGAAAAGAGACGCCGAGAATGAACTGGCCGCGGAGTTGCAGAAACTGGAGAACACAGCTCCCCCACATCTTCGCCAGCGCTTTCACGATGAGTTCGAGGGCTTCACCAAACTGTTTCAAAGGTTCCTTCAGGATTCGGGACCCTCAGTCAATTGGGAGCAGATCCAAAAGCTTCCCGAAGATGCAGTAAGTCTCTCTTATAAAAATTCCGTTTTCTTTATTAAATTTATTCCTTCCAAACGGAAGCATTGTATTTTTATTTTCATTACTGTTTCCTAATTTCTTATTTATGCATAATTCACACTCATCATAAATAATGAATATAAATTGAACATGAATATAAAATAAAATATAATAAAATTCATGAAGGAGATGAATCTAAAAAAAATTCATCGATTTTTCAACATGAAATTCTCGCTAGATTAAAAAATAAAAATAACATTCTGTTCTCTTCG